AAGGAAGGAAGGAAGGAAGGAAGGAAGGAAGGAAGGAAGGAAGGAAGGAAGGAAGGAAGGAAAATACTAGCCAGGCCAGTGGTGGCACACATCTTTAACCTCAGCACTCGGGAAGCAGAGGCAGGCAGATGTCTGCGAGTTTGAGGCCAGACTGGTCTACAGAGTGAGTTCTAAGACAGCCAGGGCTTCACAGAGAAACCCTGTCTCAAAAAACCAAAAAAGGCACTTGGGAGGGTGTAGTAATTTTTCTTAATAAATACAACCTAGAGTCAGATATCTGGTGACATCAGAAGGATCAGAGAAGCAGAGCGGCCAGCCACCAGAGAGACCTTTTATCTCGACCAGTGCTCAGGCCAAAGGGGCGACCCCAGCCTCAGATTGTAATTGTCTCCACTAAACCTCAGACTGCTCTGAGCTTCTGTACCTCCCACCTTGTATTCCTCTCTCCACCCAGACACATCACTCCTGTCTCCACCCCCCTAGTGCCGGAATTAAAGGCATGGGATCCCAAATACTGGGATCACCTTTGGGTGAGCTCTGTTTTTCTTTTAGAATATATATATTCAATCTTATATAGCCCAGGGTATCTTGGACTAACAGAGACCCATCTGCCTCTGTCTCCCAATTCTTGGGATTCAAGGTGTGTGCCACCACTGCCTGGCCTCTATGGCTTAACTCTGATCTTCAGGCAAGCTTCATTTGTTAAAACACAATCAAACTATCACTATAGGAGGCAGAGACAGGAGGATCTCTGTGAATTCGAGGCTAGCCTGGTCTTCTACAGAGCCAATTAAAGGACAGGCTCCAAAGCTACAGAGAAACCCTGTCTTGAAAAACGAAAGAAAGAAAGAAAGAAAGAAAGAAAGAAAGAAAGAAAGAAAGAAAGAAAGACTCAAAGAAGAAAATGTATATGAGTGTTTTGCCAGATATATTGTTAATTCCAAAGATGTAAGAAAGAGCACCTATCAAAAACATTGTGGCCAAATGAAGGCAAGGAATTAATGAAAGTAAACCTTTTTATTCATGAACCCCTAAGGTGGAGTCGGAGTTCAAGAGGTCAGCACTGGACACCAGGAAGACAAGGCTCTTATAGTTCAGGGGTAAGGAGTTTCCAAATGGGGGAACTGGAAGCCAAATAGGAAGGGTTACTGGAGCAGAACATAAGTTTACACATTAATCCTAATGACCTCCTGAAACAAAGGCTTGGTTGCAAGGTGGCTACCAGGTAGTCATAACAACAGGTAGTCATAACAACTTTTTGAAACAAAGACATGGTTGCTGTTTCCTAGGACAGGCAGTTCAGAATCATTTGTAGTTAAGGTTACAGGTAGGCATAGGCCAATCCCTGAGAAACAGAGGTTTAATCATAAACAGAAATAAGCTTTAGTTTATCTTTACAATAAGATAGCTTTTAAACCTAAAATGGAGGCAGGCTGGTTCATCAATATGTCTGTGCACCATGTGTATTCCTGGTGCCTGCTGAGGTCAGAAGAGGGTGTCCGCCCCCTGGACCTGGAGTTATAGAAGGTTGTGGGCAGTTATGTGAAGACTAGGGATTAAATCCAGGTCCTCGGGAAAAGTTACAAGTGTTCTTAGCCTCTGAGCCATCTCTCTAGGCCCTGACAATTATTTTTAAAGTATTCAGCGCCAGGCGGACAGTTTGACTATCAAGACTCAATCCCCTGACAATCAATCATCACTAAATCAAAAGACAAATAAGTTAGTAAGTAAATAAAAGTTTACTGTGTCCTCATACCTTAAGAGTTACTCTGTAACAGGGTGCTGTGGCGGTCACTCGAGTTCTTAGGGAGTGACCACAAGGTGGCGCCACAAAACAGTCTTACTTTTCTAACAAAGACCGGTTGTTGTGGCACTGAAATCCTGTCCTTTGCAGACTGGGACTTTTGCTAGTTTGTCAGGCTATGTAGACTAGATTGACTCCCAAATCCCCCTTTCTGACCTCCGCCACTGTAGTGCTGAAATTACAGGCATGTGATAGCATGTTGCCCTTCAAGACTGAGACTTAAAAACAAAACAGCAGCCAGCCCATGATAAAGGGAGACCAGAAATGGCCAAACGCTGGGAACAGGGTGGCCTGCTGTTCCAGTGTTTCCTCGGTGGATGTCTCTGTGCCCTTAGAAAATTACATATAGGACAGAAGAATTCTCAAGTGTCAACCTAACCGATGATTTACATAGTGAAACAGATGTTTATTTGGGGGCGGGGGTGGGGTGGGGGAGTGGCTCAGTTGGTAAAAGCTCTTACTAGGAAAGCATAGAAAGGCCTGGCTTATAGGGGTTTTGTTTGCTTTTGAGGTAGGGTCTCTCCACGTAGCTCTGGCTGCTCTGGAACTCATGTAGACCAGGATGGCCTCAAACTCACAAAGACCTGCCCAGCCTGGTTTGTGGCTCTCGGAGAAAGACAGGATAGTCCCTGGCGCCGCCAGCCATCCAGCGTAGCCTAACCTGGGAGCCTCTGTCAGAGAACTCTTCTCAAAAAAAATGAGAATGACACCTAAGGAATGCCACTTGAGGTTGACCTTGGGCTCCCACATGAACGTGTACCTACCTACACACACCACGTGCACATGACCGGGTATATACAACACAGCCACCTGTGAAAGACGCTATTGTCAGGTGTATCCTCAACTACAGTTACAGTATAGCCTAGGGCAACATGAAATTTTGTCTTAAAAAAAACCAGAGACTGAGTATAGTGGCAACTAAGTTTAATCACAGCATTCAAGAGGTAGAGGCGGACAGACCTCTGTGAGTTCAAGACCAGCGCAGTCTATATAGTGAGTTCCAAGTCTGCTAGGGCAATGAGGAGGAGAAGGAAGGATGAATGAAGGAGGGAAGAGGAAGAAGAAGGAAGTGGAGGAGGGGGAAGGGGGAAGAGGAGCACAGGTTATATACAGCCTCAGTATGTAACCCAAGCTGGTTTCAAACTCAAGAGCTTCTGTACTGAGCAGCCCAAATTCTAGGATTACAGGCATGTAACCATACTCAATTTGGATCTTTTCTTTTGGCTAAGAGTGTGAGCTAGCACATGAAGCCCTGGATTCCATGACCAATACTGAAAGAAAGACAAACCAACCCTCTGATTAGTAAATGTTGAATAAAACTGTTACAAAGAGTGTGGATCTCAACACTCAAAAGGCAGAGGCAGAGGATAGAGACAGCTCAGCGGCTAAGAGCACTGGCTGCTCTTCCAGAGGACCAGAGTTCAATTTTTAGCACCCACAGGACAGCTCCCAACAGTATGTAACTCCAGCTAAAGCATATTCAATGCCTCTATGGCCTCTGTGAGCCCAGGCACACATGTGCACAAACACATACACAAGCAAAAACCCAAACCAAAGTCACATAAAAGTATACAAAAAGAAAAACCAGGCTATTAAGAACTAAATTCTTAGCAGGGGCTTTCGGCTTTTCCTGTCTTTATTGCTGATGGAGGAGCGAAAGCCCACGAGAGATCCACGGGCACGTGCTCTCTTTTCATTTGCCAATGTAAGGGGACCCTTAAATGTGAGGCGTTGGTATGTTGACCCAGCCCTGTGGTCAGACCTGGGAGGCTGAGGTAGGGCAGATGTGTGTACAAAGGCAGCCTGGGCTACACAGTGAATTCCAGGTCAGCCTTGGGTACCTAACACCCCATCTAAAAGAATCCACACACACCCGCATACACACGAGTAGGAGGTGAGGTGAACAATGCCAACCAAAGATCCAGGAGGCTGACCAATTAGCTCTCAAAGATGATGCAACCTGGCCCAGTCAGGGTCCCTTGCACATTCTGCTCTCAGTTGCATGATCCCCGCAGAGAGCTCTGGAGTACGATGCGTCTATACGCTCTCCCAAACAGGTTTCTCAGTCTGTGGCCCCCAGGACCGAACTCTGCTAACACTGGCGCAAAGAACCAAAGACCCACAGAATGCAACAGGAGGAAGCCCAAGGGGTGGGATTCGGGGAAGAAGATGGCATCGCTTTTATATAAATTATCTTTATTTATATGGCATACAAAAGGTATAAATATGATTTATGTAAAACCGATCACCTACACATTCAAGCGGAGAGTCCGGGAAATGGGAATATACAGTGCTCTAAGCGAGACAGAAAGATTAGAACCAGTGGCCCACGGCCCCCACCATTCAGGGGGAGACAAACGAACAAAGGTGGCTTGTCAGATCGTGGTGGCAGAGGTGCGTCAGGCTTCAGAGCACGGTTACGAACAAGGCACTTATGGGAAGCACGCCTGAGGCAGAAATCAGTGATCTGAAGGGACAGACAGGACACCCGGTGAACACAGGTCTCTGCCTCCCGGATCTCAGGCCATCACAAAGAGGCTTGATGCTGAGCAGGGAGCAACAACAGGATGCAAGAGGAAGGAACCTCCTCCACACAGGCAAAACTATGGGGCAGTAGTCGCAACCCCTTGCCCGTGCAGGGAAGCAGTTTGGAAGTGGACAACCACTGAATACAGGGTCCAAGCTTTGGAATTCTCAAGCTCAGGTATGTCCTGGGCTGGTGAACTGGGGGAATTTTTCATGACTTGCTGCAAAGTGTTCATGATCTGGAAGCCTCGTGAGCCCAGGAGGGCCTGCACTAAGGGGCCAGAGGACAAAGCCGACCGCAAGGCCTGTGGAGTGTCAGTGAGGCGGTCTGCTGAGATCGCGGCCACCACCCTGGACACGGAAGAGAGGGGCTAGAACGTGAGAGCCTTCCCAGACCCCAGGGACAAGCTAGTGCCACCTGACCCAGAAAAAGAAAATACGACACCAACTTGAGGGTCCCCGGCCCTGATGGCAGATGACTCTATAGTCATCATCACCGTGAGGTAAAAGTGACCAATAGTAGACTCGGCCAAGTACCTCTTAAGAGTCAATCTGTTGCCAGGCGGTGGTGGCGCACGCTTTTAATCCCAGCACTCAGGAGGCAGAGGCAGGTTGATCTATGCGAGTTCAAGGTCAGCCTGGTCTACAAAGTGAGTTCCAGGACATCCAAGGCTGTTACACAGAGAAACCCTGTCTTGGGAAAGACAAAACAAAACTAGTCAGTCTTCTGCTCCTGAAAAGCAAACTGTGCTCCCTTTTCTACTTACATTCTAGGAGATGTGCTCCCTTCTCTACTTACATTCTAGGAGATGCTTCAGCCTCAGAGTACAGGGCCACACCGAGGCAGGCTAGCGAACCAGAGTCCCAGGTCAAACTAGGTCAATGCCCACTTAGTAAAGAAAGTTTTATTGGGACACAGTCACTCTTTATGCACCAACTGCTTATGGCTGTTTTTGTGCTAAAGATGGGCCAGGCGGTGGTGGCGCACACCTTGAATCCCAGCACTTGGGAGGCAGAAGCAGGTGGATCTCTGTGAATTTGGGGCCAGCCTGGTTTACAAGAGCTAGTTCCAGACCAGGCACCAAAGCTACAGAGAAACCCTGTCTCAAAAAACAAAAACAAAAAAACCAAAAACCAAGAGGCTAGCTGGAGACAGTGTAAGAGACACTATCAGACCATTGGCTGAGAAAGTCTGCAGGCTCCTGTCTTAGAGGCTAAAGGGTCTTCAACACAGGAGGCCCAACTATTAGAACCTGATTCTGTTGGAAGTGCCTGAGCGCAGGGAGGCTGCACCCCACAGAGAATCTGTGTGCAGTCAGGAGTCACCAGTGTGCCCAGGTACCGCCTCCCTGTGCTTTAAGTCATCTCTCACCCACGTGAAGCTGTGATCTATGACCTGGTCTCTGAAGCTCAGAGAAGGCGTGAACAAGTGTGCATCCACGTGTATACGTATATGCATGTTTGAACACACACGCACACACTACACACACACACACACTCGATCAACCCCGAGAGGGGCAGAATCTTGCTCTCTTTATGCTGGGGCAGATCAGGACCAGCCGCTCTCTGCCCCTGCTGAAGGCTCTGCGGTGAGGACGCCCCCTACTTCTCGGTTCTCATTCACATGCCAGCTTGCTGTCGAAGCTGGACAGCCCGATGGCGAAGGCTTGCAGAGCACACAGTGGGTAGTTATAGTCCAGTGTGAACACGTCATCAGCCACGCGTCCAAACTGCATGACGATGTAGTCGGCTGGAAACAGGAGGAAACGAGCATGTTAGAGTATAAACGTGCGGTTGTTCTGCGGATGGGGGAGCAGGGCGAACCACAAGTTCTTTTTAAAATAGGCAAGGAAGAGGAGGGAAAACGGCTCGGTACAGTACCTGCCTAGGATGTGGCAGGTACCAAGTTCCACCCCTAGCACAACATTAAGAAATAGATAGATAGATAGATAGATAGATAGATAGATAGATAGATAGATAGATAGAGAGAGATATGATGGATACATAGATAGATGATAGAGTGGCTTCACCCAAGAGTTCTTTACCTTGCCACAGAAGGATGCTCACACTCCTCTGGCCCTGCGGCTCTGTCTTTTTAAGATCTCATTTCTTCAGGCTCTCCCTCCTGGCACAGTTTCTTTAGCCACTCCCTCCGGGCATGACTTCCCAGCCCTCTGTGCACTTCCCAGCTCCGCCCACCCAGCCACTCCCCTGCACTTACGGTCATTTCCGTGGACTATCTGAAAGTTCTTCACTGATGCCTGAGTGACCCTGCCATGGAAGTTGAGGACATAGGACTGGGTGTCATCACTCCAAACTGGGGCCTTGTTGTGCAGTTCAATCAGGTTCTCCATGGATTTGTTCTGCCACTTTGAAAGCAAGCTCTCGTGCTCCTGTGTGGAGGGAAAATGACTGTCATGTAGTCACAAATCTGTCAGAAGGCAGAACAGGGAGGAGCTGAAACAGCAACAGAACTGAGGACAAGCAACAGCACCAGCTTTGAGGTTCTTTTTTTTAAGTTTATTTATTTACTATGTATACAGTGTTCTGCCTGCATGTATGCCTGCAGGCCAGAAGAGGGCGCCAGATCTTATTACAGATGGTTGTGATCCACAATGTGGTTGCTGGGAATTGAACTCAGGACCTCTGGAAGAGCAGTCAGTGTTCTTAACCTCTGAGACATCTCTGAAATGTCTCTGGAGAATCTGTGATTCTTTAAAACATTGTTTCTACTTTAGAAACAATTACTGATTTCTATTTTAAGTTACAGATGGTTGCGAGTCACCCAGTATGTGCACTGGGAATTAAACCTGGGTCCTCTGGGAGAGTAGCCAGTAGCCACTGAGCCAGCTCTCCAGATCCAGCCTTAAGATGCTGATGTGCCATCTGGCCATTTCTCAAGTCAGCATCTCCGGAACATTCCATCCTGGAGAAGCAATACCTTTTTCTTGTCTTTTTTAACTGGTCTCTTCTGTGCAATATTACTGTACTCAAGGTGTATCACTGTCTCCTAGAGACCCTTGTTGATGGAATATAATTTTTCTTCTGTCTTTGAAACCTGGTCTCACTGTGAATGTATTTTTACTTACATTTCGTGGCCGAAATGGGATGCGTTCATGATTCATATTCATCCCCGGAATGATCACAGACATTTTCCTAGGACCTTTAAAACCCAGTACGTTTGTTTCCTGAAAGACAGCAAAATAAGGCAGAATTTGGAAACAGAAGGGGAGGAGAAACCTCAATCTGCTTTTACAGGAAACCTCCACTGGTACAGAAAATGCTGCCAGCCTTGAGGGAACCAAAACCAGTTTCATCTCTTTGCTGGACCTAAACACAGAACCCGAGAACTGGACACAGATGTCAGGCGTGGCGGCACACCCTGCACATACATGTTCCAGCACTTAGGCGGGTGAAGTGAGAGGATTGTTTGAGCCCAGGAGTTTGGGGCTAGCCTAGGCAAAGCAGAGAGACCTTGTCAAGGAAGGAAAGAAAGAAAAGAAAGCCAGCCATGGCAGTACACACTTTTATTCCCAGAATTCAGCGGGTTGAAGCAGGAAGGTTGAGAGTTTGAGGCCAGCCTGGAATATGCAGCAAGGCTAGGGTATATAAGAAGACCCTGCCTCAAAAGAAACAACCAAGCCAAAACAACATCTACAAAAAGAGAGAAAGGAAGGGAGGAAAAGGGAAAGGGAAGAGAGGGAAGGGGAAGGGAGGGGAGGGGAGGGGAGGGAAGGGTACGAGGGAAGGGGACCATTAAATGCAAAGAGATGGCTCTATTTCTAACCTATTTTTTACTGTAGCCTCTAGCTGAAGAGCAAAGCATCAGGAAAAGAGAAGAGAGGTTTGTGGAGAATGAATTGTAACTGAACTTGGTGATCCAAATCCAATTAAAACTCAAATACAAGGAAGAAACGATGCCAGCTCCTAAAGGGGAATTAAAGAAAGATCCGGGAGGAAGGAGCTGAGCTGGCTTTGGGCCTGGCTGGCCACACAGAGGGCACTGAGGAAGGAGCACTGAAGATGGAGCACTAGGTAGGAGCACCAGGCAGGAGCACCAGGTGAAGCAAGGACAGCACTTACATAGCAGATGGCGGCCAGCTCCTGCCGGGTGTGAGCCTTTTCCACCAGACCCTGGGCCTTGACTGGGTTGACACCATGGTCATACACTGTGAACTTGGTCCCCATGAGATTGGATCTAGTATCAGGAGAAAAGGCTACCATGATGATCTGCATTTTCCTCTTGAGGAGACAAGGAGAGGGGACACCTGTCTGCCTGCTGATGTGGGATTCTACTCTGGATGCTGTGAATATGTTTTATTGCCACTGGTTAATAAAGAAGCTGCTTTGGCCTTGGTCAGGGCAGAACATAGGTAGGCGGGAAAACTAACTGAATGCAGGGAGAAAGAAGGCCGAGTCAGGAAGACTCCATGTAGCTGAAGGAGAAAGGTATCAAATCACAGCCTCGTGGTAACATATAAAATAACACGAATGGGTTAACTGAGATGTAAGAACTAGCTAGGAATACGCCTAAGCAATCGGCCAAACTGTTGTAATTAATACAGACTTTGTGATGATTGGGTCCGGGAAGCTGGGAAACAAAAGAACTGTCTCTGCGTACAGACTGCTAGCCTAAGAGCAGCAAAGATACCGTCTTTTCAAAGACTCACAAGGGAGGGCTTAGGCTTCTTTTTCTTTTTCTTTATTTATTTAGAGTCGTCCTTGCTATCCTAGGCAGGCCTTGAACTTGTGGAAAAGCCTTTTGCTTCAGTCTCCTAAATTCTGGGATGACAGGCATAAACTACTATGCCTGACCTAAGATTTTCCTTCTTATAAGTTTTTATTTAAAATAATTTAATAAATAAATCATTAACAATCAATAAATAAATTTAAAAAAAATATTTACTTATTTATTTATTATATATACAGCATACATGGAAGCATGTATGCCTGCACAGATCTCATTACAGGTGGCTGTGAGCTACCATGTGGTTGCTGGGAATTGAACTCAGGACCTCTGGAAGAGCAGCCAGTGCTCTTAACCACTGAGCCATCTCTCCAGCCCAACAATTAATAAATAATTTAATAAAATAAATTATTATTATTATTATTTTAACTAGCCTAGATAGCCTGGAACTCATGGTCCACCTGCTTCTGTCTCCCAGATTCTGGTATTAAAGGTGTGTGTGATAAAGACTGGCCTCAAATTTTTTCTTTAATTTTTTTTCTTTTTAAAAAATATTTATTTATTTACTATGTATGCCATATTTTATCTGTGTGTATGCCTTCAGGCCAGAAGAGGGCACCAGACCTCATTACAGGTGGTTGTGAGCCACCATGTGGTTGCTGGGAATTGAACTCAGGAGCTTCGGAAGAGCAGTCAGCGCTCTTAACCGCTGAGCCATCTCTCCAGCCCTCTCTTTTTTCTTTTTTAAGACAGGGTTTTTCTGTGTAACAGTCCAGACTGTCTTGGAACTTGTTTTGTAGGCCAGGCTGACCTTGAACTCACAGAACTCCGCCTGCCTCTGTCTACCAAGTGCTGGGATTAAAGGCGTGCACCACCATCGCCTGGCTAAAGATTTTCTTTTCAAGATGAACACATCTGTATATCTGAATCATTTAAAAACAAACACACAAACAAAAAACAATAGCAAAGGCTTGGGATGTAGTTCAGTGGTAAAGCAATTGCTTAACATGTGTGAGGCCTTTGGTTCAATCTTCAGTGACAGAGAGAACAAGGTGTGTGGGGGGGGATAAACTAGCAATTATCCTGAATTACAGGAACTACAGAAGACTGGGCTGGCGAGCTGAGGCTTCATTACCTTAATTTGCCGATGTAACTTTCCCCATCACGAGACAAGTCTGTTGGGTCTGTGGAGATCAGGTAGTTGGAGGTTTTGCTCTTTTTCCGCTTCCTACCAGCAAGAAGAAATATCTGAGACAAGAAAAATGTCAGTCAAACCCAAGTCCAGTGAGACCACAAATGTTTACCAGTATCTCTCGTGTGCAAGAAGTGGATCTTAGGCCAGGCCTGGTGGTGCACACCTTTGCTTTCAGCAGAGGCAGGAGGATCTCTGTGAGTTCAAGGCCAGTCTGATCTACCTGGAGAGTTCTAGGGCAGCCAGAGTTACAGAGACAGATCCCATCTCAAAAACCAAACCAAAACAAAAAAACCAAAAAACAAAATAGCCAGGTGGTAGTAGTGGTGGTGACACTTGGGAGGCAGAGGCAGGTGGATCTCTGAATTCAAGGCTAGCCTTGTCTACAGATTGAGTTCCAAGGATAGCCAGGCTACACACAGAGAGACTGTCTCAAACAAACAAAAAGCACAAAATAAATAAATAAACAAATGAAATCCAGTATTTGGAAGACCGGGGCAGGGCAGGAGGATCTGAAACTCAACAAGTTAGAAACCCTCAGTTTCTAAGTTTGAGGATATCCTGGGCTACATGAGTCCCATATCAAGGAAGGAAGAAGGAAGGAAGGAAGGAAAGAGGTAGGAAGGTGAAAAAAGCCCACTCCTATGCTCTTGCTGGGATGGGGCAGTTCTGCAGTGGGGCAGCTACTGGTGCACAGGGGGCTGAGCTCCAGCATAGCCCAGGGAAACACTTCTCCACTTCCTTACATTGCAGACAGAGTTTTTCTTGAGGGTGGGCAGGGGTGAGGAACTAGAAATCCTGACCATGACTAGTTCTCATGAGACACTAAGAACAGGACTTCTGGGTACACAGCCCACTATCAGATGACGATGGCTAACTAGTGGGACTCCCCGGGCATAAACAATCCCCACGACAGCCTTGTTCTCTCAGGACCATCTGGGGGTTAAGGGCTTAGCAGAGGGGTGTCTGCCTGCCGTGGCTGACATTTCATCACCAGTGCTCGGAGAAAAGAGGAGAACGGCCTACAGTGGACCCCGTACCTTCCGGTTCTCCTCCTTCTCCAGGTGCATGTAGTAGGTGGGGAAGAGGCCGCGGTCCATGCCTTTCTTATCCCGGGTTACTCGACACTTCACCGTGACACCCCGCGGGGCAGGGCTGTATGCGAAGTCCTCTAAATTCTCCACTTCTCCAAGCTGGGCATCACTTTGCTGGGCTGTGACACCAGCAGCTCCCGTCTCCTGCAAACAGAGTTTTCTCTGAGCAACCAGAATCGGGGGCAAACTTCACGCCCTGTGTCAGACACTTAGTGGACAAAATCCTGCCTCTGTCTTCAGTCCCCTCCCGATCTGGTGAGTCAATCAGAGCATCACGAGCCTCGGTGTAAACAGTTCTCCGTGTTTGAGGACGATCACTGGCTCGGCACCACGTACCGAGGCTGCTTTCTGGCTGGCCACAGAACTCTCTTTTTCCGAATGAGCTGATGGGGAGCTGAGACTGTCCCCTTCCTCTGCCTCATTGTCGGTCTCCTCGTCATAGTTCACGCTACCCAAGATGCCTGGCAGAAAAGGAAAGCCTGTCAGCAACTGTCATCTGTTGTCTGGAGATCACCTTGGAAATGAAGAGGTTGCTTCAAACCTTCCCAACTTGGGGCCAGCGAGATGGCTCAGTGGGCAAAGGTGCTTGCTGACAACCTAAGTTTGATTCCTGGGATCCACATGGTGGAAAGAAAGAACTGACTCCCTAAAGTTGCCTGACTGTTACATGTGTGCACAGCATTTACACACACACACACACACACACACACACACACACACACAAATGTAATAATAATTTGCTAACTGGAACCAGACATGGTAGTGCATGTCTATAATCCCAGTACTCAGGGGACAGTGGCAGAACAGAAGGATCAGAAAGTGAAGGCTATCCTTGGCTACATAACAAGCTGGAGACCAGCCTGGGCTACATATACCTTGTCTCACCACCATCACCACCACCACCACCTCCTATTATGCTTAAGGCAAACTACAAAGTCTTGCTATGGCCTCCCACATTCTACAGAACTAGCATTTTGTTTTGTTGGTTTTTGAGACGAGGGTCTCACTATGGAGCCCTGGCTGTCCTGGAACTCACTGTGTAGACCAGGCTGGCCTTGAACTCACAGAGACCCTCCTGCCTCTGCCTCCCTAAGTGTTGGGAGTAAAGGTGTGTGCCTACATCTCTATAGCCAGCAATAGCCCCTCTGAGCCCTACCCATGCTCCTTCCCACCCTCCTGCATCTTGCTCTGTGCTCCACTACCGCCACCTCAAAGGACCCAGTTCCTGCTGCAGGACCTCCCACTTCCTCTGGGCAGCTTGCCAACCACTCAGTCTGGGTTAGGGGCTCTCCAGGGATTCTCTGGCACCTTTATACTTCTAGCACAAAGCCACATTTACTTATTCTTCAGACAGGGTCTCATGTAGTCCAGGATAACCTTGAACTTGTTATATAGCCAAGGAGAACCTTGAATGAACGCCTTACCTCCAGCTTCCAAGTGGTGGGAATACAAGCACATGTCTCTACACACAGTGTTGAGAATCAAACCCAGGGCTTCAGGCTTGCTAGGCAAGCGCTCCCCCATCTGGGCTGCACTCCCCAGGCCACAAAGCCTCAGCCAAAATAAACGTTCTATGAGAACATGTATGAGAACAAAGCTCCATACAATTATGCACAGAACTCATTTTCTTCTTTAAACCTTTAAAAGTTACATTTTGTTTATTCTGTGCTTCTCTCCTTCCCCAACACCGGCTCTGCTTATGCTCAGGTTGACAGGTTTGCCAGGTGTGTATGGAGGGTAATTAATCCTCCTTCTCCCTTATGGGGTTCCAGGGATTGAACTCTGGTTGCTGGGCTTGGCAGCGGGTGTCTTTAAACAATAAGCCAGCTTCCTGACTCCCATAAGCTATTTCTAATGGATGAATGCATGAACCTGTTTCGGTATCCAACCACTCTTCCCAGGAGGGGCTAGCAAGGCAAGCACCCAGCATACACTGATTCCTTGCTGCCTTTCAAGTTCCTCACTTGAAGGGCAGTTATATAGCTGAGCATGGTGATAAATGTCTACGGTGTCAGCATTCAAAAGACTGAGACAGGAGGATCTCAAATTGGAAGCCAGCCTGGGTCACATAGCAATACCTTGTCTAAAGGGGGAAAAAAGGAAAAAAAGAAAAAGAAAAGAAAAAGAAACTAGGTGTAAGGCCAGGTGATGGCAGTGCATGTCCTTAATCCCAGCACTCAGGAGGCAGGGGCCTGCGGATCTCTGTGAGTTCAAGGCCAGCCTGGTCTACAAGAGCTCCAGGTCAGGCTCCAAAGCTACAGAAAAACTCTGTCTTGAAAAAAAGTAGGTTTAAGAAAAAAAAAAGGCAAAAGGAAAAGTCATATATGATAATGACTACTCTGTATTTCATTATCTTGTTTCCTCAGACAACAGCATACATGACGACTATTGTCAAGTTTCCCCCCTTAGATGTCAAAGATGCTGGAACCCAAGCCACACTAAGCAGGTCTGGGTCACTAAGAATGTAGGCCGACGCGGGAAAGGTGCGCACCCTGCCATAAACTGAGCGTCCCCCTCACCGTGTTTTTGGAGAATCTCCTGGAGGTCTGGCTTGGAGGCGGTCTCCACTGGAGGGCTTTCCCCACCTGTACTTCCGTCGGTGGCCTCTTCCGGAGCTGGGGAGCCCACTGAGAGAACCTGAGGCTTGCTTTCCAAATCCGGAGCCTCTGGCTTAAGGAAAGCAGCTGGCCCATCGATGCCTAGGAGCCCGAAGAAAGAGTGAATGTTGATCAGAACTGAGCTGGGGGCTTTGGGGGATGCGGCCAATCAAGGGCTACCCAGCCACCTCAGTTCTCCTTCCTTAACATCATAAGCATGTGTGTTCAGAACAGGGACCGAGTCTACCAACAGGCTTGGCTACTCAAACTGTACTTCAGAACCTAGGAATGAGGCCAAGGCTGGGCGTGTGGCTCACGGCAGACTTTTTATTCATTCTGAGAATTCATTCATTCATTTCAGGCAATGCCGTTCTCTTTGCATCAAAATCAATAGTTCTAGGATGGACGTAAACTTGAAGGCATCTTCCGCTATTTCTCTTCCCAAAGACCCAGAACGTGATTATCAAGATAATGAAGGATCTTAGGAAGGGAGCCAGTACTGTCTTTGTGCACCATCTGCATTCTCCTGCCTCATCTTGGGTCTGTGAAAATTGTACTTAAGCCAGACCTGGCACTGTCTAAATACACACCATGTAGGATGACGTCGCTGCGAGGCGTCTGAGGGTCCACCAAAGGCGTGTGCTCCTCGCTGCCTCTGGGCTTTACCCGCCGCAGCCTGGCTTCTGGGTTTGGTTGTACCATAAGTGGCTCAAGGCGCTTCTTTCTCTGCTTCTTCTCCAGCAGCGCCCTCTAGAGAGAAAATTCGGCATTACAACGCAGCGCCCACCCTCATGGAATAGCTTAGCAGGCCTTTCTTTTCCTTTTAAAAACTAATCCTAAGGGCTACTGTGAATCTCTTTTTGTTTCACAAAAGATGAAAACATGGCAGCTGCGCATAGAGGCGCATATCCTAATTCCAGCACACGGCGGGCGGCATCAGGTCGGGCTTTTTCCTCTTTTCTGAGACAGGGTCTTCCTATGCATGACAGACTGATTTTCAGCTACTGACCATCTCGCCCACACCTCCCAAATCTTGGGATTACTGGGATGCTCTGCCACAGCCAACCTCGGTTTTTGCATTCTTGTTCATCTTACAAATCGAAATCAAATGAACTTGGATCAGAAGTGAGAAGAAAGAAAAGATAGTTGGGACATTCTGAGCAGGGAAATTGAGTTTACGGGTAGACGCAGGACAAAGAGCCGGAGCTGGGGCAACCCTTCAGAACGCCTGCTTGCGTCTCTGTGACTTTCTGTGCGGTGATGAACACCTGACCCAAACTGACCTGGAAGGAGAGGCTCCATTCCCACAATAGGCAAGTCAGGACAGGCAAGCGGCGGCAAGAAATGAGTAGGGGTCATGGAGGAATGCTGCTTCCAGGCTTGCTCCTCAGGGCCGGCTCAGTCTACTCTTATATACCCCAGGACCCCCATCCCCCCCCCCCCCCGCCCACAGTGGGCTGAACCTTTTCACATTAATCACCAATTAAGAACCGCCCCACAGGCTTGCCTACGCGCCAATCTGATGGGTGCTGTTTCTCAACTGAAGGTCCCTCTTAGATGACGTCAGCTTGTGTTGTGTTGGCAAAAACCAACATACACACCCTGTATATGTAAAGTCATGGTTATGACGTGGAAACTCACTTGGGAGGCTGAAGCAGGACACTGATCCCAGGAGTTCATGGCCAGACTGCCTAACAGGGTGAGACCAAGTTCCTCCAAACCAAACCAAAACAGCAAGATAAGGCAAGAAAGTCAGGCGAAAAGGCAGGAATGGATATGAGAGAAATGCCCAGTAAGACAGGAAGGAAAGCACTGACACATACACTATTTTTAAATTATGTTTATTTTTCTTTGTGCACAACAGTTCTGTCTACAGTATGCTTGTGCCCCACGTGCATGCCCGATGGCCACAGAGCGCAGAAGAGGGAGGCAGATCTCCTGGAACTGGAATTCCAGCCAGAGCCATACAGCTGGATCCTGTTGTTTTGTTTTGTTTTGTTTTAAGCTATGAACAGTTTAGCACTATTGGTCATTAGGGAGATGAACCCAGCTGCCACTTCATGCCCATTGAGATGCTAGGAACCAATAAGACCAGAAGCCTCCGGCATTGGTGGGAACTCAAGTGGTCCAGTGTCTCATCTGGACTGGATCCGGTCTTGCAGAAATCAGGGGTGATTTAAGGCTAGAGAGGGCAGGCAAAAGCCACGAGCAAATGCTACACCAATGTTAAAAGACAGGATTTGGCTATGCAGCTGAGGCTGGCTTTGAACCTGTGACCATCCCTCCTCTACCTACTCAGCTCTGTGATTACAGGCACACGCTAGCATGCGCCACTAGCCTTTGGTAATTTCTAAAGATTCTAGGGGAGCCTCAGGTAGGATTAAAGGGGTCACAATTGGTGGTCTGAGTCTGGAATACTGTTCTGTGTGGTATCCAAGAAGGGGACTGGTCCTTGTTGACCTCCATGATAAAAAGTGTCATCTCATCTTTGCTGATTCCTCCTCCGCTTTGCAGTTGACCTGCTTCCTCTGCAGTCGCCACCCTCCCACCACTGAGTTCTGGCACACTTGGTAACCAAGGCAACTCTACTACAGGACTCAGCCGCACCCTGGCCTTCTCCCCAGGCCTGTTCTTAGGTGCTGACTAGATTCAGAACTCACCATTTTCTTGGTTAGACTCACTTTGCTTTGTATGCCATCAGGTTTGTCACGTAGACCCCATGCAAACTCACGTGATTATTAAATAGTTTTGACAAATGTTAAAAAAAAATCACATAGAAAATCAAACATGAAAGCGACGGATGTCAGGTATAGTTCTAAGTTGCCTAAGCATCATTACAGCATGTTACTGCACAGCACTGCACATGCCTTCCTTCCTTCATGCAGGCATGTCATGAAAGACTGTTGCATGTCCCTAGGCTAGGGAACTCTGATGGAATGATCATCAAACATATACTTAGTGGGAGCCAGGCACGGCGGCCGTGCCTTTAATCCCTGCACTTTGGGAGGCATAGGTAGGTGGATCTCTGTGAGTTCAAAGACAAGCTTGGTCTACAGAGTGAGTTCCAGAAGAGTCAGGACTACAAAGAGAGACCCTGTTTCAAAAGAGCTAAAAAACAAAAACAAAAACATGGGATGGGGAGATGCCTGGAAGGGTAAAAGTGTTTGCCATGCAAGTTTGTTCTAAGCTCAGATGCCCAGAACCCACATAAAATCTAGCTGCCACAACTCATGTGTCTGTAATCCTCGGGTGTCCATATGAGGAAAGGGGAGGCAGGGACAGGGATGCTGCAGAAATTCTGAGCCAGCTGATCTCGACGGCTAGATGGCTCATGTCACCCAGAAGCCCCATCTCAAACAAGATGGACAGGTGAGAAGTGAGACCCAAAGGCTGTGCTCTGACTCACTTACCCAGGGACAAGCACACACGCACATAAACCAACTTGGCAGGCAATGTCGCAGTGCCGAACAGATATGTACAATCACTATGTGTCAATCAAAAATAAATGTATATCTTAATATCTGTTCTTAGGAGGCTGGAGAGATGGCTCAGCAGTTAAGAACACTGACTGTTCTTCCAAGGAACCCGAGTTCAATTCCCAGCATCCACATGGCATCTTAGAACTGTCTATAACTTCAGTTCTAGGGGACCCAATACCCTCACACAGACACACATGCAGGCAAAACACCAATGCACATAAGATAAAAATAAATTGGGGCTGGAGAGATGGCTCAGTGGTTAAGAGCACTGACTGCACACAACTGTCTGAAGATCCAGTTGCAGGGGATCTGACACCTTCACACCAATGCACATAAAATAAAAATAAGTTATTAAAAAAATCTGTCCTTGGTTCTTATTCTATTAGTCCAGTAAAGAAAACAAACACAGCTAGGCAGGGTGAGATATACCTGCAATCGCAGAACTCGGGAGACTGAGGCAGAGCTGTTGGGAGTCTAAGGACAGTCTGGTTTGTAGGGTGAGACCCTGTCGTGAAAACCCAACCCTTTCCCACATAGAAATTAAATAAATAAATAAAATGTATATTAAAAAACCTGTGAATAACACTATTAAAAAAATAAGCCAGGCGATGGTGGTGCACGCCTTTATTCCCAGCACTCGAGAGGTAGAGGCTGGCGAATCTCTGTGAGATCGAGGCCAGCCTGATCTACAAAGTTTCAGGATAGGCTCCCAAGCCACAAAGAGAAACTCTGTCTCAAAAAAAAAAACAAAAAACCCAACCAAAACAAAATTTAAACAGCACAGCAGCAAGCATAGGCCAAAATTTTGTTTTCTTGGTTTTTTGTTTTGACACAGGGTTCCTCTGTGTAGCCCTGGCTGTCCTGAAACTCACTCTGTAGATCTCGAACTCAGAGATGTGCTTCAGACCAAATTCTAGATGAGGAAAACCTGTTAAGTGGTATTGTTCCAATGTGGACATGGCCTGCAGTGTCTCCCAGAGAGTCATGTGCTGAAGCAGGGCCCCATGCAGTCAAGTGCAGTCATGCTGAAGGGTGGGGAAATAGGGTAGAGGCTGCAACCCAGCCCCAGAGAGGCTGAGGCAGGAGGATTGACTTCAGAGAAAGCCTGGGCTACACAGCAAGTTCCAAGACAGTAAGAGAAAGCTGTGGCCTCGTGGAAGGGATAAGTCATCTACAAGCCTGCTGTGGGAAGGGATAAAGGCAGTTCCCCTGCCCCCAGGGTGTCAGCTGGTTCCAAGAGCAAGAGGTCATAAGAAGCGCCAGCTGTGGTGGCACATGCCTATAAACCCAGTCCTCGGGAGGTGGAGGCAGGATGATTATGAATTTGAGGCCTGGGTGGGCAACACAGCAAGAATCTATTTCAAGAATCAAAAAGCTGTGGTAGGGTTGGACATGCCTTTAATCCCAGCACTCAGGAGGCAGAGGCAGGAGCATCTCTGTAGTTTGAGGCCAGCTAAGTCCTGCTATGCACCCCCAAAGAAACCAAGAAGGAAAAAAAAGTTATGATGTGGGATTCCCCTCTGTATGTTGTGAATATGCTTTGTTACCATTGGTTAATAAAGAAGCTACTTCGGGCCTTTGGCAGGGCAGAATAGAGCTAGGCAGGAAAACTAAACTGAAGGCTAGGAGAAAGAAGGTGGAGTCAGGGAGATGCCATGTAGCTGCCGAAGGAGACAGACATACCAGAACCTTATCTACTGGTAAACCATGAACCTTATGGTAAAATGCAAAATAATAGAAATGGATTAATTTAAGACATAAAAGTTAGTTAATAAGAAGTCAAAGCTAACATGCCAAACAGGGGTTTAATTAATATAGTTTCTGTGTGATTATTTTGGGTCTTGGTGTTGGGGAAATGAACAAGCAGCCTCCGCCTACAAAGTCATTTTCCTGCCCTTTCATGTGGCATCTCTCCTGTACCAGCTATTTTCCTTGTTGGTCTCTGTCATGTTGTGCAGTAACTAAGGGGGCTGTGCAGGCTAGTTTTATGGCAATCTGGTATAAACTAGTCATCTGGGAAGAAGGAACCTTAGTTGAGAAAATGCCTCTCTAAGATATGCCTTTAGGCAAGTCTGTAGCACACTTTCTTCATGATGGACTCCAGGCTGTGAGATGATTACAGTCATGGTGTCTGTCCCAGCACTAGAAGCCTAACTAAGACGGGCATCACCAGACACCAGATGAAGCTGCTAGATCTCGGACTTTAGCCTCTAAACCTGTGAGTTGAGTAAGTTTCTTTTTAAAAATAATGTACCCAGTCTCATGTATTTTGTTATAGCAATAAGAACCAGGCCAACATATCTCTTATCTATTTACTTACTGACTCATCTGTCTGTCTGTCTGTCTGTCTGTTGATCTATCTATCTATCTATCTATCTATCTATCCATCTATCTATCATTATTTTCGGGTTTTGAGATAGGGTCTCCTTGTGTAGATCAGACTGACCTTGACCTCGTGGTGATCAGTCTCTCTAGAGCAGGGATTACCAATGCTACCATGCCCAGCTACAACATTCTTCTAGTTCCTGTAGAAGGTGTCAGGAGGTTTTCATTGATTATTAACAAAGCCAGTTAATTGCTACTATCGTCAAATCGCCCTGCTCCTGCCACAGCCCAGACCTTTGGCTTGGCGACTAAGTTCAGACACTGTTTAATGAGTAGCCACGAGCCATCCTGCCCATCTAGTCTTTCTGTGAGACCCTGTTGTGACTTCAGAACCGAGACCACCAGCTCCAGCCAGGACAGCCCCTGGGAGCCCCTGCTCACCTGATTGTCCAGCTTCAACTGCCGAAGCCTTAGTGTCTCATCTTCAAAAGCACTGTCACAAAAACAGAAAAAGCAAGCACATGAAGACAAAAGCATTCTAAAAGTCGGTCCGTTTCAATTTTTTCATACATGCATTCCAGTGGGTTAACTGGAACCAAGGGATTTTGCCTTAGAGGAAGTGCCTGTTTCTAGGTGTTGCCTACACTCAAGCAAGATCTACTGATTACCACACAGACCCACCCACTACCATGCAGGCCCACCCACGACCACGCAGGTCCACCCACTACCACGCAGGCCCACCCACAATCACACAGGCCCACCTACTACCAGATAGATCCCACCCACAACCACATAGGCCCACCCACTATCAGGCAGATCCCAACCACAAACACGCAAATCCACCACTACCACGCAGGTGCACCACTACCACAAAGGCCCAGCCACTACCACACAGATCCACCACTACCACATAGGCCTACCCACAACCACACAGGTCCACACTACCATGCAGGCCCACCCACTACCACACAGATCCACCCACAACCACGCAGGCCCACTCACCCACCAAACCTGTGTACTGAGCCACACGCAGCCCTTTCTTTTTGTTTTAAACTGTGCATCAAGTACTCATCCTGTTCCAAAACAACCTGGTCTGAGTGTTTTGTGTGTGTCTTGTTTTGTTGATTTCTTAAAGCAACCCTATGAATTAAGACTGATTTCTCACACCTAAGATGAAGAAGCAGAGGCTTGGAGAGTCATGCCAAAGTTTAACAGCTAGCTGGGCGGTGGCGCCGCACGCCTTTAATCTCAGCACTCGGGAGGCAGAGGCAGGCAGATCTCTGAGTTCGAGGCTGGTCTACAAGAGCGAGTTCCAGAACAGGCAAAAAAAAAGTTTAACAGCTAAAGTCCAAGTTGTACCTAAGAATGAGATTATTTTCCTTCTTTTTTGGAGCTTCTTCTATGAGAAGGAAACAGGGACTCAGTTACTAACCTTGACTGACTTCCCTAAGATCTGCAATCAGGGCCTGCATGGCAGCTCACACCTGCAGTCCCAGTACTGGGTAGGGGGGAAGTGAAGCTGGGATGGCCCTGACTTTGAGGAGTCTGGGGCTTCATGGTGTCTCAAAATCAACAAGGTCTGGCAGTAGTAACATTGTTCTGCAGAGAGCAGGTCTTTAGTATTAAGGAACACACACAGACTGACACCACAGGGAACCAGAAGTGGGCATCACATCCCCGGAGCTGGAGTTACTGGTGGTTGTGAGCCGCGAGGTGCATGTTGGTAGGACTGAAGTCAGGTCCTCTGGAGAGCAGCAAGTGACCCTACCACTAAACTATCTCTCCAGGCTCCCTTTCAATCCCCCACTCACCCACCGACCCACCCACCCACCGTCTATCATCTAGCATTTTGGGTAGTGATAGGGATTGACTTCTGGTCCTTGGGCAGACTAAGCTAGTAATTAATACACCACTGAGCCACACGTGCAGCTCTGAGACAGACTTCTTGTTAGGAAAAAAACACGGCCAGGCGATGTTGGCATACACCTATAATCCCACACTGGGGATGTAGAGGCAGGCAGATCTCTGTGAGAGTGAGGCTAGCCTGGCCTACATAGTGAGCTCCAGGTCGGTCATCAGTACAATATAGTTAAGGCCATGGGTTCAAAGCCCAGCACTGCAGAACAAACTAAACAAAGGAACAAACAAGAAAACCATGAAGCACTTACAATCCCAGCCTCTCCTCCCAGCTGCAACCCATTCTGACCTCCCTACGGGTCCCTGCATTTCTCCTGAGGTTTCTATTTCCATCCTCAATGCAGGGTGAACAGTGTTGGAATCCAGGGGGGACTGGTGTAGATTTGCAAAGATGGCGTCTAAAATGACTGAGACAAACAAACCCATCATGAACAGTGTGTGGGAAAGGGTTAACCCGGAGACGAGACTCTGAGGCTACAGCTTAGCATTTCCCAACAGCTGCTGCAAACTTGCTTTTGTTCAACCTCTCACTCTCTGTCCTCAACACTAAACCAAAACTATGATGCCTTCTGGCACAGCTAAAGACCATCCCCTCTTCTCCCCACACCTCCCCGGAGCTGAAATCTAAACAAAGCTACACTCCGACCGAACACCCCTGAAGCCTGAACACCCCTGAAGCCTCGAGCATTCCTTTCAAGGCCTCTAACAATCAGTGTGCAGGGCGTGTCTTCAAGGCTGCACCCAGACAGCACTCAATTCCTTCCAGCAAGCCTGGGCAAGCTGGGCAGATGTAAATAACAGGGTATCACGAAAGTATCTGGGCCTGAACGGAACAGTAAACAGATGCTATAGGACTATAACACGTCCACAGGAATTCTAAATCAAACCATAGGCTGAGGACAGGCACAGGCCCTGAAAAAATAAACAAAAAGTAACCTGAAAGTCTCATTCAGCAGAAACAGAATGTGCTGTTAATGTCAGAACCCTGTCTCCAGTCCCAGCCCCTACAGCTTCGACAGTCTACCATATTGACACAAAAGTTTGTTTTCTTTCTTTTTTTTTTCTACTCCATCCTCCTGAAGCTTCTGCCCTCATAACCTACTCAGTTCCCCAAAGCCCCATTTCCTAAGACTGTAATTTCACTGATTTGATTAACTGTGGTGGAAGGAAATGGGACAAACATGATCACATCACAGGACTTCATCGAAGGATGGTCAGTGACCACAGGGGAACGGCAAAGTGGAGAAAGCAGAGAGCTCCACTACGATGAAGACTGCCAAGCCAAGCATCACACTTCCCAGGACTCTTCCAGTTTGAGGCTAGCCTCGACTAGCAAAACCTGTCTAAACAACCAAGCAAAACATCCCGTTAAGATCTCCAGTAATGAGCGGTTGAGGCGCCAGGCAGTGGTGGTGCACACTTTTAATTCCAGCACTCGGAGACAAGGGCAAGCAGATCTCTGTGAGTTTGAGGCCAGTCTGATCTACACGGCTAGTTCCAGGACAGCAGGACTGTTACACAAAGAAACCCTGCCTCAAAATAAAACAGAACAAAAAAGAGATGCTGAGGTGCTATGTTGTTCTATCCTGGAACTTGCTCTGTAGATGCTGATGTAGATGTAGATGCTGGTCTTGAACATAGGGCTCCACCAGCCTCTACCTCCTGAGTGCTGGGATCAAAGACATTTACCTGACTACCGGCCACCTTTTTTTTTTTTTTTTTTTTGAGACAGGGTTTTTCTGTGCAATATTTCCAGGCTGTCCTGGATTCATTTTGTAGACCAACCTGGCCTCACACTCACAGAGATCGGCCTGCCTCTGCCTCCCAAGTGCTGGGATTAAGGGTATGCACCACCACTGCCCGGCTTCTTGTTGTTTTCTAATGTAGGAGTCACTATTACGTAAGAGATAAGCTGAGGTGAAGGGCAAAGGTTACTTTTGAACGTTTATTCTTTTTGGTAACATTTTTGCAAATTTAATTTCTAAATAATTATAGACACGGTTTATTAGGAAAGACAAAGACTCTTCCAAGAATGGGTGTGGGTTAGTGAGCTAGGAAAAGGCGTAGATGCAAAAGTGAATTATTTTTCCAAATAAAAAAACATTAAGAGCTACAAAAATAAGACATTTTGATAATTGTTTGTTTCATAACTATGGGCTGAATAACTTATCAATTCCTCTGCCCTTGATCTGCCTGCTTCTGCTTTCCTGGTGCTGGGATTAAAGGAGTGAGCCTCCATGGCCACTTTGCCCTTGAATACTGCAACCAATTACATGCAGGGTATTTCCAGGAAGCTGAGAGAAGGTTAACTGTGAAGATATTTGCCCAAGATCAATCAGAGCTAGTTCGCTCGCTGAAAGACCCCTCTCCCTCCTACTGCTGCTGTGGAGCATTCCCTGACAGCCGGCTGTCTACTCTTTTCAAATACTTGGTAACCTTGAACAATCTCCACCTCTCAACATTCCCTGCCAGTTCTCTGGAGCTCACTGCAGCTGAGCAATCATGAGCGATGTCTCCACCAGAGAAAGATGCTGAGGGATACGGCCAAGGATGTAGAGGCTCGGCAAGCCCCCGAGGTCCTGGGGAGAGAAACGCCACTCTGCAGGAAGGGAACAAGATACAGCTTGTGAAAACTGAGGGCAGCGAGGCTTGGCCATGGCTTTCCCAGGAGGGACTGAAGCAAATAGCTCTTTTACTGTCACAAACACTGCTTGTCAGTCTCAGCTGTTATCAGTGAGGCGACAAGCGAGGAGGATTATCCTGGACGCTAATGCAAGAAAGGCGCTGGGGCGGAAGACAGCAACAAAGCTCAGGAGAGGTAAGTCACCTGGCGCACAAGGAAGGACTGGTGAGCTGTTATGGGAAAGACAAAATCTAAAAGGACTCTATTACATTTATCGATCTATTGTGTAAGGAGTGGCATCCAGAGGCAGGAGGATCTTTGTGAGTTAGAGGCCAGCCTAATCTACACAGCAAGTTCTAGGATAGCTAGGATATAGAGACAGGCAGAGACCCTGTCTTAAGAAAGAAAAGGTAAAAGTAGTATGTGAACAGGGGTGGCGGCACAAGCCTACATCCAGCACACTAAGGAGCAGTCTCTATGGTGCAAGGCCAACCTCAGCTATACTGCGGCCTCTTGGGGAGCGGACACGGTTATTCTGTACCATGTCTACTTGACCATCAATCAACACATCCGGAAGACACCTGACCCGAGATGAGCAATCAGACTCCCTTGCCTGTGATTCTGATATTGGATCTCGGGGATCCAGTTTAGCACGGGCTCTCTGGGGACACTGAGACACATCTAAGTGAGGCTACCTGGGTCTACAGTCATTAAGCAGCAAATGCTGGGGAAAAGAGGCAGGCATTCTGGTCCTGTTCTGTGCTCTCAACTACTACACTAAAATATATATTAAAGGTGACTGTCACTTTACGCTTCAGTAGTAATCAAGAACACCAAGCCCCCTGCCAAAAACTGATACTCACAGAGGCCAGCAGGATCCCTCTGCTCTAGGGTAAGAGGGCCATGAGGGGACGTCTAAAGAAAATGAACACTCTAGGAAAGTAGACACAGCT